TTTGGGAGTTTAGTTTTTAAACTTTTGTTGAAAGTTATCCCTTAGCTTTTGCCTGACAAGTGTTGAGAGTATTTCCCTGAGCAAGTGCATTTTATTGGTAGGAGTTCAGACCTTGGCTGTGTATTTCCACAGCAGGTACAGGTACTCTTTTCACTGCTATTTCTTCCATTTTGTTTCTCCTCATGCTTGTTGAGCCTCTGGCTGTTAGCATGTGTTTTCCAGGGCCTCGGATCCAGGAGTTTGTATTTCTTGCCTTTGTAGAACTTCTTAGTCTGGTTGGTTAACGGTGAGAAGTTGGGCAATGAATTTCAGACAACTTGGATATTAGAGAGCTTGGAAGCTGTACTGCCTGTCACTTTGGCAACATGCAGTTGAAAAAGCTCTACCTTCACATCATCCAGTTATTTGAACAGCTCTTCCTTCATTCTTTGAGGGTCCCAAGTCTTGATTTTTGCTGTGGCTGAGAAATAGAAGCCTGCGGCCACTGGATCCAAAACCAAGAGAAGGCCCCTTTCAAGTTCTTAAAGATAGATTTTCATGGCTTTTAACTATGTCTTTAATGACTAGAAGAAGTCTTTTATTTTTAATATTTCCCTCCATACTTTTATTTATGTATCCTGTTAACAAACATTATAACTTCTACTTTTTTAAAAAAGTTATATGTATAATAATTTAATATCTTTTTCTTTCAGCTTTTATTTGTTAGACATCAGTTCAAAATTGCTTTCTTCAGTGAGTTAAAACAAGATACACAAAATGCTTTAAAGTAAGTGACTGACAATTGTCAAATTAAAAATTTCTTATGTTTTTGTTAACAAAAACAATGACAACTTCCTATTTTTGACAAAATTCTAATTTTTAAATGATTATGTTGACTAGATTGATGTTATTTAAGATATTCTTTAGTGTGTCCAGAGATAAATTTAATATATTTTAAAGAGTCTATAAAACTTTTTTCTTAGAATCATAAATTTCATAGTGTCTTTAAAGCTTTCTGGTTTTGCTAATTAAAATTTCTCCATCTGAAGCAGTATGTTTTTTAAAAAGATATTTTTGGCATTCTTATTTGCTTAATCAGAATAATCTTTTTGTTAAAAGATTGGTTTTCAAAGAATATTATATTAGGTACTATGTAAATCAAGCTTTGACAGCCAAGTGGTAAGGAGTTGTGCTTCCAACTCAAAGGCAGTTCAAATCCACCAGCTCTCTCCACAGGAGAAATATGGGCAGTCACTTTCTATCTGATTTACAAACTCTGAAAATCCACTGGAGGGTAAGCTATGAGTCAGTTCCAACTCGATGGCACATAACAATAAGAACTATCTAAATCAAACTATGTATTTTAAAGTTTTTAAAGTGTTTACTCCGTTTGGCTTTAATTTTTTTACTTTAATATATATTTCGTTTTTTAATACCTATTAGTCGCAACATTTTCTACTCAAAGGTTCTGCTTTGGTATCTTGAAAATTAGTTGTAGATGTTTTGGCAGTAGTTAAGCATTTTATCCATTTATTTTTATCAGAAATAATTTAATGAAACATTAATCCCTTTCAAGTTTTAGATCAGATTGTTTTTTGAGAAAAAGTATATTTGTATTAACAGGTTTGAACATATATTTTTTTTTCTCATTCATTCATTGTTATACATTTTCCTTCCTTTCCCCCCCTACCCCCCAGTTCACTTTTTTCTTTAGAAAAA